ATATTATTTTTTGATTAAATCAACTTGCCAATTTTCCTACAAACCTTAATCCATTCCCTAAACACTTCATTGGTTTCCGCCACCAGATTTCTGCTTTTCGCACGAAAATAAGATTTCTAATTTTTGTCAAAAACTGATTTCCACATGTTTTCGGCAATAAGAAGATAAAAAAGATCGTGGTTTCTCTGTAGCAAGAAGATGAAGAAGGTGTACAAATAGTAGCCCTTCAATACAAATGACAAGAAGAATTAATGCCTACTAAAGTCCAAACATGTGACCTCCCATTTGGGAGAGACATATAGATATCTGATAAGGAATATTTTCCGATTTAACATCTATATATGTTCACGTTCTCGTTTTATAGTCGGGTCAGAATTAAACGATTGGATCAAAATCCACGTGTCAAAGTCAATAGGCCAATATAGCGTTAGTCCTTCATTTTGGGGGCCTCTCCTCCTCCTCGCCACTACTCCCTCTCGATCTCTAAGACAAAATGTTTTCTTCTCTCCCTCTCTCTATACTATGAAAGAATAAAAAGCTTCTTCAAGCCTAATTCATGGTCCATGGATCTTCTCTCTACTAAGTCTCATACGCATTTTATACAAGTCATCGTTTATATACACTTTGCATATGCAAGTTGAATAACGATATCAAATTATTAATGCCATTAAACTACAAGCTCCTTGACAATTATACTTATCTTATTGTACAATATACTTTTTTTTTTTTTTTGATCGATTAGTCATTAATTTTAATTTCTTTAAAGAACATTTGATTTACGTTATCATATATAACTTTATGAATGTAAATATAGTAATATCAAATTCTCTTGTTTGGTTCATACCCTTGAAATTAATATAGAAATTAAAGGTGAGGTTTTCAAATTTTATTTTTAATTCAGGTTTAGTAGCCTTCATGAGAATCATATCTTAACTATAATATAGCCATATGGTTTGTGAGCAATAATTGCTCACCAAACCAAATGGTTATATTATAGTTAAGATTCCCTTAGGGTTGGGGTTCAACCTTTTGGAAGAATATTATAGTTAAGATTTATTTATTTATTTATTACATGGTGTATAAAAATTCAAATTAACCTTAATTCATTTTCATAACTCTTGCCTCATCCAATCCATCCAAAAAATCACAAATAAACTTCAATTGAGATTATTCTAATGAGGTCAATCTTAAAATTTAGTACATAGTATTTAATATTACAAATTTTCAAGAACTTAGTAAACTACAATAGTAATTGAATTACAATTTTCAGAGTCACCACGGCTCAAAATTTTTAGACCTTTGAGACTTCTAACAATTTTCAGAGTCACCACGGATCAAAATTTTTAGACCTAAAAATTTCTAGAAATCTCAAAGGTCTAAAATTTTTGATCCGTGGTGACTCTGAAAATTGTAATTCAATTACTATTGTAGTTTACTAAGTTCAATTCTTAAAAATTTGTAATATTAAATACTATGTACTAAATTTTTAATATAATTTAAGATTTGTAGTAATCACTCACCTTAAATAACAATTCTTATTTTAATTGTAAATATACTTATGTTCATAATTTTATCATAGCAATTCACACATAATTATTAAATAACAAAATTTTTATATATGAATAAACCTCATATATGGTATATTTTTATAACATATTTCCCGTGCATCGCACGAGACAAATACTAGTTTCTTGAAAAAAAGATATAGAGTTAATTCCATTTTTGGTCCTAGATTTATAGGTGACAGTTCATTTTTTGTCCCTTTTTATCAAAACATTCCCTTTTGGTCTTAGTATTATTGTGACACGACCAATTTTGGTCATCTATTAACAAAATCGTTGAAAAGTCGTTAAATAGAAAGACATTTTGATCTTTTTAATACAAAGTGCGTTGACCTGGCCTGTTATATATTTTATGTTTATTTTTTGAAAAACTTCATAATGAAGAGGGAAATGCTCTTGTATTGTAACAGACCAGGAGCCAAAACGCGGAGTTTGAGGCTAAGCCGTTAGGTAGTTAAGGCAGTTAGAATAAGAATTGTCTATTCTGCCCTTGGCAGTTGATATCTTGTAACTACTTAACCTTCAGGTCTGCTTCAGTATGGTTGTTGATGAATATACATGTTATCTTTTACTTCTAAATTCCTTTTCTCCCTTAGCAATTGTAACAACTGGTATCAGAGCTCTCGATTCAATGACAAACACACGCCGGGATCACGATGAAGCTGCGAGGCAGTTCGCTGAGATGCAAGAACAAATGCAAGCAGTTCAAGCACAACTGCAAGACAACAAGAGAGCAAGTGCAGAGGCTCTAGGGGCCTTCCAGACGGGGTTCCAAACATTCCAGGCAGAAGTGGGGCAATGGATGATGGCGATGACGACACAAGGGGCAGCAATTCCCCAGCCATCAATCGCAGCCCTCAACTCAGCCGGAGCACAACCTCTTCAATCGGATGGGGCTAGCACATCTGTTAATCAAACAAGAGGTAATCGTCCAGCTCCTACTCATATACCTAATCATGTCGAATTTGTCTCTGGAATGCACTTTGGTAACCAAGAACAACCGAGACATGCTCCGCGACATAATGATGATTACTTACGTGCTCCTAGACCTAGGATCGATTTTCCTGAATTTGATGGGACAAACCCTAGGGGATGGATTAGGAGATGTAATAAATTCTTTCTGTTATATCGTATTCCTGATTAACTGAAAATGGAATATGTGTCCTTATACATCAAAGGCCGCATAGATGCCTGGTTTGAAGGATATATGATTGATCGTGGGGGAAGAGTATTTTGGGAAGAATTTGCTGAAGATGTGTGTAGGAGGTTTAATGCCTTGGGGTTAGAGAGTGTGGAAGAAGAGTTTAAAAGGTTAAGGCAAACTGGATGGGTGGAGGAATATAATAGCAAATATGATGAACTAAAAATTCAGATGTTGATTGCACACCCTACATTGACAGAGTTATATTTCATTAGAAACTATATCAGTGGGTTAAAGGGTCACATAAGGTGTTTTGTTAAAACTGCCAACCCCCTAACTTTGATGGATGCATATGTGTATGCTAAGCAATTTGAGGAAGGCTTAAAAGGAACTGAGTGGATGGGGAAAGTCCCAAGCCAAGGGATAACCAACAATGCTGGGACATCTTCTGTGGGATCTGTGAGTGTGAATAAAGGTAAACCTATGGTGCAATTGAGTCAGGCTGAGCTGGAAAAACTGAAGGAGCAGAAATTATGCTTCTACTGCAGAGAAAAATGGCATCATGGGCATAAATGTAGGCTTAAGACATTCAATGCCATGACAGGCTTGGAGGAGGAACAACTAGATCAGAAGGAGAATGGAGAAGAACCTCTGAGTACTGAGATCAACAAGGAAGAGAGTGATGAACTTGCTGAGGTGTCCCTCTTGGCTATGTTAGGAGGAGAAGGGCTGAGCACCATTAGATTATTGAGAATGGTTGGTAAGAGAAAACTGGTTATCCTTGTAGATACAGGCAGCACCCACAGCGTCCTGGATCCAATAGTGGTTCAAGGACTCAAGATTCATACATATAGAACCAACCCCCTCTATGTCACTGTGGCCAATGGGCAAACCTTGATGTGTGAAGAAGCTTGTAGTGAATTATCTTGGACAGTGCAAGGAGAACAGTTCCAGAGAGACTTCAAATTGCTAAGAATGGGGGGTTGTGACATGGTGCTAGGCATGGATTGGTTGGACCAGTTCTCTCCCATCCAGCTGCACACCAGACCCTTGGGAATATGCTTCATCAAAGAGGGAAGAGAAATCACATTGCAAGGGATCTCTGGAAGGGTAAATCTCAAGGAAGCTACCACCAAATAAAGGGCTAATTGGGCCAAGAAAGGAGCCATAGGATTCCTTATTTACTGTTGTGCATCAGACAAAAACCCTGATGTGTTATCAGGATCTTGCAATGCAATTGAGGCCTCCTTATAAGTTAAAGAAGCCACTAACACCAGGATACAAGACCTACTCTCTCAATACTCTGATGTCTTTAGTGAGCCACAAGGGTTACCCCCGCCAGGCTGCATGATCATGCCATTCCCCTGGTAGCTAATGCAACACCTGTTAACTTGAAAGCCTACAAATACACTCATGATCAGAAAAACATCATTGAGAATATGATTGCTGAGATGTTATAGTCTGGAATTGTATGCCCTAGCAAATCCCCCTTTGCATCCCAAGTACTGCTAGTGCCAAAGAAGGATGGAACATGGAGATTCTGTGTGGAATACAGGGCCTTGAACAGGATCACCATAAAAAAACAAGTACTCCATTCCATTGGTAGAAGATTTATTCTCAGAATTGTCAGGGTCCACACACTTCTCTAAAATTGACTTAAGGGCTGGCTACCATCAGATTATAATGAAGAAGGGAGAAGAATTCAAAACTTCATTTAAGACACATCAAGGCTTGTATGAATTTAAAGTAATGCCATTTGGTCTGACTAATGCTCCAGCATCTTTCCAAGCTCTCATGAATGAGGTATCACTACAAGAAAATTGGTCATTAATGAGAGGTAAAACCGTCACTAAAGAATAAAAAACCATCATAAAAGACTTTTAATGACGGAAAATTTACAGTCGCCGCCCGTCGTTATTTCTTCCGAGGTTAAAAAGAAATAACGACGGGTGGCGACTGTAAATTTTCCGTCATTAAAAGTCTTTTATGATGGTCTATTTACCGTCACTAAAACGTTCTTTTTGTGACCAAAAATCCCGTCACTAATACAACTACTCACTAGCATAATTTCCTCTCATTATATTCTTGTAATGATAGGAAATCCCGTCATTAATATTACTAATATTAAATTTTGCCCGTCACTAAAAACTGTAATTTAGTGTAAAATATTATTTTTCTAATTTTATATATACTATTACTTCTCATTAAATATTAATGTTTATAATATATTATTTTTGTCACTAATCAATATTATGTTATATTGTAACTATAGATATTGTATTTAATTTTTACCATAATGCGATCAAAGTAAACTCAATCAATATATTAAAAGACTTCATCATCACTACTAAAATGAAATTTCTATACAACTTTGTAATGACTAAAGACATAAACTAATTATAACAATAAATAGCCATAGTAATGTACGTATCTATTGGCTACTTTACCTCTAAGTCTTTTGCAATTGAACTAATTTTGCCTCAAGTCTTGCAAGAACAGTGGTGCGGAATAACAGTCAAACCCCTGCTTATCAACTCACTTCCTGCTAATTTGAATAGGTTTGTGGTAGAATCATCCAACTTTATGTTTAAACATATAAGTAGCCATGTCCATGATCAAATTCACACAGCTTGCCAAAAAATAAATAGGTTTGCTATTTCTCATGTAGAAATATCAGAATGGTTCTCATTAGAAGCAATTGTAGCCACACTGTCATAGTAACCCAAGACAAATTCTTGAACCACCTACAGAATTCAGTATCAACGAAATTCAGATTTGGGTTTAGTTATAAATGCAACAAAAAGCAGGCAAATAGGATTCAATAAGAGTGTAAATCACCAAGAAGAAAACTAGCATACAACACTAACAAGGTTCCAAACAGAAATGCTATGGCACTAAGCACATTAGAAACTTAAGCAGTAGTTCTACATTACACCACATGCTAGTAAAGTGTGAAATTCTGCTGATGAAATGCTGGGAAAACCATTTCAAGAACAAATGTAATTATTACTTTGGGAACCATTAAGAGGCAAAAGAAGAGATACCTTCTCATACTCCAAATGAATTTGTCGCAACTTCTTCTGGTAACAAAATTCATATGACCACCATCCCTCTTTCTAGGAGAATTTGACAATGTAAGTTATAAAAGCGATGCATAATTGCAGAGAAAACACCTTTAAATTCACAACTTGGTTCATCTATCAAGTTATTCCTTTTCATTTTTTGATAAAATTCCTCTTTTTCCCACTTATGGGATAGGAGGGAGGTTCTAAATATACTAACCTTGATAAGACATATATCCTTAAGCATTTCTAGTAGCTCATCAAGTGTCTTTAGTTTAATGTGTTTCTCAGTCTCCAAGATCAAGCTGTTCGTATTCTGATTACTGACTAGTTTACTGCTTTTTGAATTATGCCCTTTGGGTAGAAAACACAGAAACTTCTCTCCTTTTTTATTGGGCATAACAACAGCTTCCTGATCATCATCATGTAAAACAAAATGTTCAGACTCACCCATTCATTTAATGCATCATATGATGAGGATATAATATTTCTGAATGAATCAAATAATAAGTCTGTACAGGAATATATATAGTAGCGAATAGCAAACCTAATACAAGACTAATACTAGTAACAATAGGTAACGAATACTAATAATAATAGAGTCCTAATACTCCCCCTCAAGCACAAGGTGGACTAGCTACAACATTGAGCTTGCCACACAGAGTAGAGAAACGCGGACCAGGGAGAGCTTTAGTGAACACGTCAGCCAGCTAATCCTTAGTAGAAATGAAGCTAACCTGCAACTCTTTCTTTGCCACTTTGTCACGAACAAAGTGATAGTCAATTTCCACATGTTTCGTACGAGCATGGAACATCGGGTTGGAACAGAGATAAGTTGCACCCAGATTATCACACCAGAGAGTGGGAGGAGCTGCCAACGGCAACCGAAGTTCATGCAATAGAGAAACCAACTAGGTGACCTCAGCAGACACGTCAGCTAGTGCCTTGTACTCGGCCTCTGTAGACGAACGAGCAACCGTACGTTGCTTCCGGCAAGACCAAGAGATCAGATTGTCACCAAGAAAAACCGCAAAGCCGCTAGTAGACTTTCTGTCAGCGGGGTCCCCAGCCCAGTCCGAATCCGAAAAAGCATGCACTGCAACAGAGGAGGATGGGCGAATAAACAGACCAAAATGCAAAGTGCCTTTAACGTACCGCAGAACACGTTTGAGCATTGCCCAATGCTCAGTAGTCGGGGAGTGCATATGCTGACAGACCCGATTCACAGCAAAAGATAAATCCGGGCGAGTGACAGTAAGATACTGCAGAGCCCCAGCAAGACTGCGATACTACGTGGGATCGGCATAAAGAACCACCGATTCAGAAACGGGTCGAGTCACAGGCACCGGAGTAGCCAACGGCTTGCAGTCCACCATACCTGCACGGCTCAAGATATCTCGCATGTATCGCTGCTGAGAAAGAAACAAACCATCACCACGAGAGACCGTCTCAATGCCCAGAAAAAAGGACGGAGCACCCATGTCACGAATCTTGAACTCCGAGGCTAAGTCAGTCAGAAGCCGAGTAACACGCGAAGCATCAGATCCCATAACAAGGATATCATCCACATAAACAAGCACATATAAAGATACAAAGTCACGAGTGTATATGAATAAAGAGACATCAGTCTTTGAAGGTGAAAAACCAACCGACACCAAGAAAGCATGTAACCTGTTAAACCATGCGCGAGGAGCCTGCTTAAGACCATAGAGTGACCTCTGTAATAAGCATACATCATCCGGTCGTGACGAGTCCTCATAGCCAGGCGGCTGTCGCATGTAGACTTTCTCTGCAAGATTACCATTCAGAAAGGCGTTGTGAACATCCAACTGCCGAATTACCCAACCGCGAGAGACAGCCAAGGAGAGAAGAAGCCGCACGGTTGTGGGTTTTACAACAGGACTGAAGGTCTCAAAAAAGTCCTGTCCTGCGACTTGATTGAACCCCTTATCCACCAACCGAGCCTTGTGCCGCTCAATCGTGCCATCAACCTTGCGCTTCGTCCTGAACACCCATTTGCAGCCTACAACATTCATACCAGGTGTGCGACTAACCAGACGCCAAGTGTGATTCTGGAGCAAGGCATTAAACTCAAGATCCATGGCCTCACGCCATTCCGGATACCGAACTGCCTGAGAATAACAGGTCAGCTCAGAAACAGTCATAAGAGCCACATGCTGCGTCGGCCCCAAAGAACGAGTCGCCATAACATGAGACCGAGGTAGAACCGGTTTTACCGTGCGCCGACCTCGCTTGGGCGCCTTAGGAGCACCCGAGACTGCCACATCTGGAGCCACGGCAGTCTCGATGCGGGAATCAGAAGCAGCACCAGCAGCCCCGGAATCTGTGTCCATCTCCGGACGAGGATCCGGCCCAGCAGAACAAACACCAGAGCTCGCGTCAACCTGAACGGCGCCAACACCCCACGGCTCAATCGGGCGAGAGCTAGAGACCTGAGAGGGGACAGAAGAAGCAAATGGAAATATGGTTTCATCAAACCGCACATGACGGCAAATGAATACCTTGTTAGTAGCAGGATCAAAACAACGATAGCCACGAAACGAAGACGGATAACCAAGAAACACACACGGAGAAGACCGATACTGCAACTTGTTACGATTATACGGGCGTAACAGAGGATAACAGAGACAGCCAAACACACGCAAGAAAGAGTAAGAAGGACTAGAACGATGCAACCGAGAATGAGGACTATCATTATCCAAAACCCGAGTCGGCATCTTATTGATGAGATAGACCGCAGTCTCAAAGGCATAATCCCAATATCATTGTGGAACCGAAGCCTGGGCCAAGAGAGCCAAACCCGTTTCCACAACGTGACGATGCCGACGCTCAACTCTACCATTCTGCTCATGGGTATAGGCACAAGACTGCCTATGATTAATACCCAAAGAGACAAAAGTACGGTGCAACCGTTTATACTCTCCCCCTAAATCAGATTGAATAGAGACAATCTTACGACCATATGAACGCTCAACTAGTGACCGAAACTGCTCGAAGATAGCATACACATCAGTTTTCAAACGCATAGGATAAAACCATACATAGCGCGTATAGTCATCAACAAACAAAACAAAATAACGAAAGCCATTGACGGAAAGAAAAGGCGCTGGGCCCCAAATATCAGTATATATAAGTTCTAAAACATGAGACGTAGTAGTATTGACACGAGGCAAGGGAAACCGTGAGGATTTCCCAAGCATACAAGCACGACACAATTCCGAAGTATCACTAAAACTAGACTGAATAGAACATGAATTTAAAATCTGCCGCAAGACACGCGGGTGAGGATGACCCAACGGGCTATGCCACACGTCAGAGGAGACTCGAGAGGCCACAAACGCAGCGGGACTTGAACGAGAGACAGGCCAAGAATAGAGACCCCCCGAAGCCGGCCCTTTATATAGAACTTCCCTGGTTGAACGATCCTTCACAAAGAAACAATTAGGGTGAAACTCAAAAAAGACATTATTATCACGAGCAAACCGTTGCACAGACAATAAAGACGCAGAAAGCCCAGGAACATGAAGAACATCAGACAATCGAAACAGTGTTTTAGATGCGGCTAACGAAGATGAACCAGTACTAACAATAGGTAAACACTTACCGTCACCAACACGAAGATGATCCGGACCATTATAAGGAATCGCCGAGGACATTAAAGACGGATCCGGAGTGGCATGATTCGACGCACCAGTGTCAGGAAACCACTGCTGAGGATTAACCGAAGCCGAATCATCAACAGAATATGCAACATGTGCCCGCGGCCCCGGAGCGCCATCATAACGACGATAGCACGAAGCGGCCGAGTGGCCTTCGCCGGAGCAGATCTGGCACTGGACAGCCCCGGCGCCACCTCGACCGCGGCCTCGGCCCTTGCCACGACCTCGGCCTCGATTGCCGCCGCCACGCTGCTGCCCGCCCGAGCGACCTCCACCTCGCTGAGCCGCCATGGCGACCGGAGCAGCAGCAACGTCACCACCATCATCAGCACATATAAATGCCTGCGAAACAAGAAAATCGGATAACTCGGGTAAAGACACCGGAGCACCCCTCGTCAGCGACGCCACCAAAGGGCGATATTCGGACCGCAAGCCCCGGAATATATACATATTCTGATCTTCTAGTGTCACCGGACGGCCGGCAAGTGCCAAATCCTCAATAAGCACCTGAGCACGCCCAAGATAATCCGGGATCGAAGCATCCCCCTGCCGCAATCCTTGCAGTTCGCCCACCAACCAAAGAGCACGGGCCCGAGTCGTCGAACCAAGAACCTGTTCGATCGCCACCCACAAATGCCGAGAGGAGGTTTTACCGATGGCAAGATGCATCACCTCGTCGGACAAGGACGAGATCAACAAGGAGAGCACGGCCTTATCTTGACGAAGCCATGCACTCCGAGCGGCGGACGATACGGCCGACGAAGACACGACAGCAGCAGCCTCCTCGGCAGAAGGTACCGTAATCGCAGTAAACGGGGGACACACAGACGTTCCATCGACAAAACCCAATAATCCTTGGCCATCCAAGAACGGAAGAAGCTGAGTGCGCCAAAACAAAAAATTACGGGATGTCAATTTGATGGAAACGAAGTGATGAGCCGAAGAAAACGACACCCCGGACTGCAGGGGTGCCACAAGCGCAGCCTCAGAAACAGTCCGTTCAGAACTTCCAACAGAACCGCCATCAGAACCGAGGTGCGCCATAGAGAGAGAAAAAGAACCTGCTGATACCAGATGAGGATATAATATTTCTGAATGAATCAAATAATAAGTCTGTACAGGAATATATATAGTAGCGAATAGCAAACCTAATACAAGACTAATACTAGTAACAATAGGTAACGAATACTAATAATAATAGAGTCCTAATACATATAACCAGATCAGTTAAAAAGACACAATAATATAATTTTCTTAAAACTGCTATCATGGAATATACTACATCCAAGCTGATAGAACTTACAGGGAGAAAATGTGAGTCTTCTGGATGAAATTCAATTTTGTATTTAGGTTTTTTAGAGCTTCGACCAAGAGTACCTCCTGACATTAAAGGTCAAAAATTCATAAAATCTGTGCCATCCAAGGTAAGTTAATATGAAATATCCATATTTGATCAAAATGGGAAACATATACATAACACCTGAAAGTTAGCCAAAACAATGGTTTGCACAATGCAACTAATAAATAGATACGTAAAATATATTTGGTGTTTGAGCTAATGCAGTAATGCCAATGTTTCAAGGCTTCAAGCATAAAACCATCAACCTATCCACAAATTCTACCTAGAATTTCATAGTTTATAAACTGTTAGCAATTTCCAAGCACCAAATATTCCTTTAGTCTAGCTTGTCTAAGTCATTAGGATCAGAATTTAGTCAATAAAAACTAAAATATTATATTCCTTTACTTCAAAAAGAACACAAAGAACATATAACCAACTACCTTAAGATGCAGTAAATCTATTCTCATTGAGGTGTTGACAATTTCTATGTGCAGCTAATCATCCACTTGAGGCTTGTCCAACATAAAAGTGAACTCCACATCCATCTTGGATCCCTACTTCTCTTCAGTCGCTGCAAAAAGCAAAAGTGGCATATATATGCTTGCCTCATAGCCATTTAACTATTTAAAGCATAATTGACTACAATAATGCCCCAATAGGATGTAACGGAAGATAGACAAGGAATAAGCACACTGCCTGCTGCCTGCTGCCAGCTGCTTGCTTCATTGCCCCTGCTTCAAGTGCCAATAAAGTGATAAACAATAAGCACACTGCCTAGCTTCAAGTTCCAAGCTTCAATTCATTCAAACCTATCAAAATATCAAACGAGATAATATAATAAAATTATTAGTATTATTACTACAACACTTAATTAAACACTTAAATACTTATTGGTATACCAAAATATGTAGACAAAATCCTGAACATACTAGCACCAACGAAGTACATTGAACAGATGACAATTTGATGTTCATCATAATATCAAATCACATTATGCCAAGTTCAAAAAAAAGATACATAGTCTGGAGTAAACAACTGCTACTATGACTAATTAAAACTGTAACTAGTTTTCAAAAAATAAAATAAAATTGAACTAGATTCTTGAAAGAAGCATGCACTAACTAAGACTAATCACTAATTTATTGATTTATTAACAGTATAAAAATTTACCTACTTAATTAAACACTTAATAACATATTAAGAGTATAAAAATTAAAAGAAAAAAAAAACTAAAAATAACGTATTACCTGAGGTTAGGTGAGGGCGTCTGCCGGAGAGTGTGAGGGAGACAGGGAGAGGAGCGAGAGAAGCAGAAGCCGAGAGGCAAGAATGGAGAAGTGGATGTGAGGACTGAGGAGCGACTGGCGAGGGCAGGGCCGGACCGCCAGAGGGCGTGACTCGTGACTCGTGACTCGTGAGAGAGACCTGGAGTGACCGGCGTGAGGGCGGAGGATGTGTCAGCGTGAGCCGCAGAGCTGTAGAGGACCATGGAGTCTAAAGTGTGGGAAGTGGAGATTGGAGAATGGAGAAGGCGACTAGGCGAGAAGCAGATCTGGAAATGAACTAAAATTTTAGGCGCCCAAGGGGAAAGAGAAGAGAGAGGAAGATGTGTGGATTGTAAAATTTTACGGAGTATGTACTAAGAAGGCGCCTAACAATAAAATTTTGGTGGGAATTTAATTTTATTGAAATAAATTTTCAAACACCAATAGTGAGAGTAATAGTGTCTTTCATACCAATAGTGAGAGTACATTTTTAAAAGAAGTATAAAACTAAAATTTCGTCACTAAATCATAAACCTTTAGCTAGAGTAATTTTTAACCATCACAAAAACTATGTAAATAATACATTTAGTGAGAGGTTTTTCTACCCGTCACTAATTTTTTGTCACTAAAAACTGTTTTTCTTGTAGTGTATTCTTACCCTATTTGAGGAAATTTATACTGGTATTTTTTGATGATATATTGGTTTACAGCTCAGGGATGGATACATATCTGAGACACCTTGCTACTGCCCTGCAACTACTGAGAGAGAACCAACTATTTGCCAAAAGAAGTAAATGTTTCTTTGGCCAGAAACAGGTGGAATATTTGGGACATATTCTGACAAGAGAAGGCTTGGCTACTGACCCTGCCAAGGTGGAAACTGTGATGACTTGGCTATAACCTTCCATTGTTAAAGCCTTAAGGGGCTTCCTAGGGCTCACTGGATACTATAGAAGGTTCATCAGGGGTTATGGGGCCATTTGCAGACCCTTAACAGATATGCTTAAGAAGAATGGGTTCTTTTGGTCTAAGGAAACACATCAGGCCTTTCAGGAATTAAAGACAGTCATGTGCTCAGCTCCAGTACTAGCTATGCCAAATTTTGAGAAAGAATTTGTGGTCGAAGCATATGCTTCTTGCAAGGAAATTGGGGCAGTATTGGTGCAGGAAGGGAAGCCAATAGCCTACTACAGTAAGGGGTTGGGACCTAAACATCTAGGATGGTCCATCTATGAGAAGGAGTACTTGGCCATACTCAATGCAGTGGAAAAATGGAGGCCTTACCTCCAGGGAAGACATTTTATCATCCAAACTGACCATTAGAGTTTAAAGTACTTGCTAGAACAAAAAATCACTACTGTTATTCAGCAGAGAGGGCTAACCAAACTATTGGGCTTAGACTACTCCATTGTGTACAAGAAGGGGAGAGATAATATAGCAGCTGATGCACTATCTAGGAAGGAAGGAGGAAACTGCAATGCCTTGTCTAGCCTGAAACCTGCTTGGTTAGAAGAAGTCTTGCAAAGTTATACTAATGATGATTGGGTACAACAGACAATGGTGCCATTGTGTTGGATCCTAATTCCACTCCATCTATGAGAATGGAGAATGAGCTGCTAAAACATAAAGGGAGATTGGTAATTGGTTGCCATAAGGAACTGAGAATGAAGTTGATCACTGAATTCCACAATTCTGCCTTGGGAGGACACTCTGGAACTCAAGTGACTTACAATAGATTAAAAGCAATCTTCTACTGGAAGGGCATGAAGAAGCAGGTGAAGCAGTTTGTGAGAAGTTGTGATAATTGTCAAAGAAACAAAATTGAGAATGTGCTTACTCCTGGCCTTCTACAACCCTTAACAATACCTAGTCAGGCTTGGACTCAAGTATCTATGGATTTTATTGAAGGACTACCCAAGTCCAACAATAAGGATTTATAATGGTAATAGTGGACAGGTTTACCAAGTATGCCCACTTTATCAGTTTATCTCACCTATTCAGTGCTGAACAGGTGGCCAATTCCTATATGAACAATGTGTATAAGCTACATGGACTTCCACAAGGAATAGTGTCAGATAGAGACAAGGTCTTTCTCAGCAAATTTTGGAAAGAAGCATTCAGAAGGATGGGAACTCAGTTGCATATGAGTTCTTCTTACCACCCCCAGTCAGATGGGCAAACAGAGAGAATCAACAGATGCTTGGAAACCTATCTAAGGTGTATGAGCTCCCACAAACCTAAGCAGTGGGAGAAGTGGCTGGCAATGGCTGAACACTGGTACAATACTAACCATCACTGCTCACTGAAGATGTCCCCCTTTCAGGCCCTATATGGTTATCCACCTCCACAATTGGTTGTTAATGATGTTGAAAGAGTCACAGATGAAAGGGAAGAAAGTTGGATCCAGGAAAGAATGAATATGATAAAGATACTGAAGGAAAATCTCAGTCTAGCACAGCAAAGAATGAAGCATTATGCTGACAAGAATAGGTCTGAAAGATCTTTTATGGTGGGAGATATGGTCTACCTTAAACTACAACCCTATAGACAAGTCACTATGGCAGTAAGGAGAAATGTCAAACTCAGTTCTAAATTTTATGGGCTTTATGAAGTAATGGAAAGAATAGGGCAGGTGGCTTATAGGTTGAGACTGCCAGCAGGAGCCTTGATCCAACCAGTTTTTCATGTGTCACAGCTCAAGAGAAGTATTAGCCAGGGGAGGCAAGCTCAAGTAGACCCTCCCATAATTGGTCCTGATGGTCAGATGCTAACAGAACCAGTGGCCATCCTAGAAAGAAGAATTTCGAAGAAGAACAATGCAGCTATGGTAGAAGTGCTGGTGCAGTGGGCTAATCTGTCCCCAGAAGAGGCAACCTGGGAGGAGTATCATCATCTTATGGCCAGTTTCCCAACTTCAAACCTTGAGGACAAGGTTGTGCTGGAGGAGAGGGTATTGTAATAGACCAGTAGCCAAAACGCTGCGTTTGAGGCTAAGCCGTTAGGTAGTTAAGGCAGTTAGAATAGGAATTGTCTATTCTGCCCTTGGCAGTTGATATCTTGTAACTACTTAACCTTCAGGTCTGCTTCAGTATGGTTGTTGATGAATATACATGTTATCTTTTACTTCTAAATTCCTTTTCTCCCTTAGCAATTGTAACATGTATTTAACACAATTTCAATGATTTTTTTGATAGAGGACCAAAATTGTTCATGTCACAATAATAGTAGGACCAAAAAGGGATGTTCTGATAAAAAAGAATTAAAAGTGAATTGCCATCTATAAATGTAGGACCAAAAATGGAATTAACTCAAAGATATATGTATTCGGATTCCCATGCATGGAGTATAACTCCCGCGTATACAAAATACATTATAAATTACAATAGAATGTTTTTGATAGATTACAACATGATAGTTACGGTCCAAGTCAAAAATATATCTGAGTACTTGAGTAGGGTTAAAATATGAAAATATTTATGACAAAATATGAAACATAATCAATTAAATAAAATAATTTGAATAACATTATATTCATAAATACTTTTAATTTTAATTTCTTTTAGTGAGATCGGTTTTTTTTTTCTAAATTAATTCGAATACAATAAAGTATAATATAAATTTGTATACTACATTAATTAAATGATTCATAAAAAGTAGACTAAAATAGTATTTAATTTGTTAATTAAATGATTCATAAAAAGTAGACTAAAAAATATTTAATTTATCTTGTGAAGAAATAAAAGAGATTGTTAGTGTTTTTAAATGTTCAAAAACCCCATATTATAATTGGCAATAT